CCCAGCCTCCCTCCCATCCCAGGTCCCCGATGTGGGGCGTGCTCCGAGGGTCCTGCTCAAGCAGTTTTGATAGTTCAACAGTTCTGAATTGCTGCCAATCTCACCGTTCCAGTCGCGATGAAACCTATTCAGAATCCACTGGCTGACATAGTCTCTTCATGGTTGGGGTTCTGAGATCAGCAGTTCAGTTGGAGGGATCTCCAAAGAAGCTTTGTCTGAGGGGATCCCAGACCTGATTCTGGTGCGTGCTTGCCAGTACAGGGTCTGGCACAGTCTCGTCGCCCCAATCAGCGTATGCACATGCTGGTGGTTGCAGTTGCTGCGTCAGTTCTGTTTCCAGCCCCGTCTTCCACGTGAACCAATGGGTGTTGTAGTCCAGCCTGATCCTGTCCACTTCATACTGGGCCCTCACGCAAACCAGTGGGAGCTGCAGCCTAGTTAGGGCGATTCCCCATAACCCCCACCAGGCCTGCCCCCTACCCTGGTTCCCATGCATGCCAGTATGCACCTCAGGCTTGTCCAGTCTGTCCCACATCCCATTTAGTTCTTGTACCTGTAAATGGGCATTGAAGCCTAGTGCAACCCAACCAACCTACTATCCAGCCCACACACGTACTGGCGGGTGCCTTTCTGTCTAGCCACCCCTGCTCCTGCCAGAGCTGAATCCAGGAGCCAGGAGCGCAGAGCACACAGGTGCAGGGTCCCAAAGCTTTGGACCATCCTCCTCTGCGTTCCCAGGCTGCAGGCAGAGAGCTGGATGGGAAGTGGAGGAGCCCACACATGAGCTGGTGCCCATGCAGGATGCCGGTGCTTGAAGATAGAGGATTAGTCTGTTGAGCCTTTGGTGGAGAGTGGTGGGGTGGGATGTGGGTCTACAGCAGGACGGCGAGGGCCACCCTGTGTGGTCCTCACTGGAGAGGCGGTCGGATTCTCCGTGCCTTTTGTAGAGGCATCTGAGATCTTTGCTTGGATCACTGGGGCCAGCAGGCTGGTCTTGTGTGTCTCCCCCCCATGCTCCCAGGTGTGTTCCTCTCCTTTACACGAGAGTCTGCCCACAAGTGGTACTCCAAAATGGGATGTGGGCAACTTAAATGGTGGCTTGAGCCCAGCACGGTAGCCTAGCAGCTAAAGTCCTCATCTTGAACACACCAGGATCCCATATGCGTGCCGGTTCTATTCCTGGTGGCACTGCTTTCCATCCAGCTCCCTGATTGTGGCCTGGGAAAGCAGTCAAGGATGGCCCAAAGTTTTGGGACCTGTGTGGGAGACCCAGAAGAGGCTCTGGGTTCCTGGCTTCAGATTGGATCAGCCCTGGCAGTTGCAGCCGCTTGGGGAGTGAATCAGTCCTCCTCTCTATATAACTGACTTTGCAATAAAAATAAATCTTAAAATTAAAATTTTTTTTTTTTTTTTTACCAATGGCTTGACCCACTGCCCCACAACCCCTACTCCTGGCAATGACCTTTGGTTAGGGACCTGTCTCCCTTTGATGGCTTACTGTCCGTTTTGGTGTCTTGTGTCTGGAGTCCTGCGTGGACAGTCACCGAGTTCCTCCTGTCCCCTTGGTGTGATTGCCCGTCTTGCTGCAGTGGCTAGGGGCCGGTGAATATGGGACAGGACTCGCAGAAGGCGACAGTCTGGCTGTTTCTGATTCTTAGAGGAAAGCATCTTGCTTGTCACCATGAGTGTTATGTCAGCTACAGGTGGTGTGTGTGTGTGTGTGCCCGTGCATCCTCTGTCAACTCGAAGTTCCCCCCGTTCCTAAATATTTTATGTAATGTTTTGCTTTCCTGTATCTGTTGATTTGACTCAGTTTTTAAAATTAGCCAATTGATGTTATGGGCCATATTTCTAACTTGAAATAAATCGACTTGGTGGGGGCGTGTCCTCCTGCATCCGCTGCCGGACTCGGTGTGTGACACAGCGCGAGCCTTCCGCCTCGCCCAGGGAAGGAACCTGCACGTCGGCGTGCCTCCGTCCGGGTTTGAGGTTACCATGGCTTCTTGCAGTGCTGATTCGGCTTCTGCCTTCTGGGAGATAGGCTAGCGAACTGGCTTGGCTTCTTCCCCAGCGGAGCCACTGCTCTTGGTCGCTGGTTTCCTTTCTTTAGTAAATATACGCCTCTTGGGATTACGTTGCTTTACGTGGGCTTTGGGTAAAATGTCTTTCAAAGGATCACTCCGTGCCATCTAAGGCATCTTTAAGTTCACGGACACTTTTGTGTCATTTCTATTACGGTAAAATAGTGAATTTATCCCAACAGATCTGTATTTGTTCAGTTCCAGAATTTCCATTTGGTTCTCAGCTAACATTTCCTTTATTGCAAGGATATCTTCCAACTTCTGGTCTCCCCGGATTTTTTTTTTTTTTTTGTCACTTTGAGTCTCATTTTCCTATTAAATCACTTTAAATTGTATAATGGATATTATGATGGGCATATTGAGAAAATATTATATTGAGAAAATTTTAGAAAATGTGCCTGGCACCTCGCTGGACTTGGGTGGAAGCAGTTACAGGCCTTGATCTCATCTAGCTTTTCCCATCACTCTTCCATGATCAGTTTTGCAGGTCTAGGGACTCCTCCCTCCCTCCCTCCCTCCCTCCCTCCCTCCCTCCCATCCCCCCGGACCACCGCAGTCCCACAGTCCTTTAGTAGCAGTTGCACGTCCAACATTCTGCTATTTAAATGTATCTGCATCATGGCATTTGTAGGGGTAGGCAAAGGTAGGAAATCCTACATCCTACTCTCAGTGTTTCACTGGGAATCCTTATTTTATCTGGGACTGGAGATGGGCCCTGCAGTACACACCACACCGCTCCTGGTGAGGCAGGGTCCATTGCACAGCTCATCCATGAGAACATGTCTCGTTGAAGCACGTATCTGTTTTGTACTTTGTATCAAGGCTGCCTCACATCAGAGGACATACGGCGTTTGTTCTTTAGGGACTGGCTTATTTCGCTGAGCAGGATGGCCTCCAGCTGGGACCGTTCTGTTGCACGTGGTAGGATTTCATCCTTTTTTTCTGGCTGTGTAGCATCCATCCCATAGCTCCATCCTATAGAGGTAGCACCGTTTCCTTACACATGCACCCACTGTCTCCCATCAGCTGTGGCTCTCCTAGACAGTCTGGTACTCGCTACCAAAAAACCAGAACGCGTTGCGGGTCAGTCCTCTGAGCTGCCGCCTCCAGCGTCTGCCAGCCCGTGCCCATGCGCCAGCGCCTCGGGCAGGCCGGTCCTCCGCGCCCACAGGCCAGGTTAGTCTCAAATGATCAGGACTGGATACATACCGGCTTCATTCTCTTATTCCCTGAACAATATAGCCCAACAACTATGCTGCATTACAAACACAGGTGGAGGACAGGCGGGGACATACAGTTAATACTCGCTGTACTGACCACAGCGTAAGCTTCTTGGTTGTTCTGAGTCCAGTGGTGGCTCTGGCTCGGGCCTGTGCTGTGTTTCCGTCTGCTCTCAGAGGCCTCGCTTTGTTTCAGGAGGAGCAAAGAGATGGGAAGAAGTCAGGCCCTGCGTGTGGCCTGGGACTTCTCACCCACAGCTAACTTGCACTTACAGATGGTTTCCCTGGAGGCAAAGCTATACTTTAAAAAATCACTGGATCTAACCTTAAGATACAGGTTTTTATTCTGTGTTATTTGGAAAACGGAGATAAAATATAAACATATCCATAGACATCATTCTACATAGACCAAAAAAACCCTCAATTTTCATAGTCTTCAGACATTCACCAACATGAGTTTTCAGAAAGTTCATTGACATGCCATTATAATAAAACTAGATTTCAAAATTTTTGTAGCAAAATATTTTTCATCCCATTTTCCCATGAACTTTTCGAAGCGCCCTCATGTCAATGGCACTTTGAAAAGCAGCGTTGGCATTTACTGCTGGACGAGCCCCTCACTTGCCGGAACGGTCTTTGAGAAGAAGATAAACGTTGGGATTGGATCAGTAGTAGTTTCGCTCAGATGTTTAATTCTCTGAGGTTCCAAGCAGAGACGGGAACCGGCATCAGGGTGTAAGTCCCGCAACAGTAACATTTATACATATCACACATAAGATCATGCCTCATTTCCTAAACACTTAGTCCCTGACGAGGCCACTGACTGGAATTCTTCTTTTATGTCCCCAAATAAGCGAGCCATACAGTCATCCGGTTACTCCAACGGATTAACAGCAAGGTTGCTGTGAAAAAAAAAAAAGCAACTATGAACATTCATGACACATTTCTATAAGGATATAGCAAGATAAAGCAGTTAAGATCGAAACACATAAGGACTTCCACGTGGGCATGATTTTGTCTTACGGCTTTGGAGTACCTGTTACGTGACTAGGTAACTTTCTGGAAAAATCCCTCCTGTTGGAGTAAACCACTGGCAGCGTGTCCATGGATATTGTTCAGGCGTGACCCCGGGCGTGGTCACACCAACAGCTCTTCTGCTGTAAGATTCGCACCATTTTAATAGAGGAAGCCATCCATACTTCACTCCAATCAAAATTCAGTACGTTTCTCTCTCTCCCCCTGCTCCTGAGGAGGGGTAAGGTATGACCCTGAGGAATGTGACGCTTCTCCAATCTGCCCGAACTCCTCCCCATCGGAGGAGAGGCATTGCACGGGAAAGACGCCAGTTAGCAACAACCAGCGCTAAGACACTGTGCCCGCTCTGCCACTGAGCGTCACAGCAGGCCCAGCCGCTAACGAGTGACCATGTACATTGCAGTGCCATAGTAAAATTTTTTTTTTCACTATAAAGTACAAATAATAGTAAAATGGACATAGTTGATCAGCTGCCAGACAGAGTAGAGCAGGGCGCCATTCACGGATCTTCGGTCGTGATTAGCTTCTGTGGATGGCATGATGGCTTTCCTCTCCTGACATCAAGGTTAAGGCTACTTGCAGGATTCTTTCGAATCTCAACGCGAGCCTGGGGTAGGAAGTGGGTGGGAAGGATTGGATCCTGTGATAATTCTGGGGGCTTCCTCCGCCTTGAGGCTTGTGCTTCAAGCCCAGCACGCCTGAGAACGCGGACCCCTGCTAGGGCAGAGCTTGGGGACTGGACTTGGAAACTGGTACAACCATGTTGCTGCAATTCCATTTTCTATTCTCTGATGTTGGCAGGAGATTCATCCCGGCTGAGTCCCTCGGAGCACCGTTTCCATCTGCTTCCGGTGAAGATTCTGTCGGAACGTCCCAGCCAGCCCTCTGATGGCGAGCAGGACGGCCGTCCTGACAGCTGCGTGCCACTCGCCCTGCTATGCATTCCCTGCAGCGTGCACCCGCTGGTGGTACACGAGGTGTGAGCGCTGGCTGAAGCCCTTACGGCACACGGCGCAGATGTAGGGCCGCTCGCCGGTGTGCACCCGCTGGTGGGTGTGGAAGTGCGAGGCCTGGCTGAAGCCCTTGCCGCACTGCTGGCACGTGTAGGGCTTCTCGCCGGTGTGCACCCGCTGGTGGGCGCTCAGCCCGGCGCTCCAGCTGAACTCCTTCCCGCACTCCTCGCACCGGAACGGCTTCTCGCCCGTGTGCACGATCTGATGGACCTGCAGGTTGGACCGCTGGCTGAAGGCCTTCCCGCAGGTGTCGCAGGTGTACGGCTTCTCCCCGGTGTGCACCCGCTGGTGGGCCTGCAGGTGGGAGGCCTGGCTGAAGCGCTTCTGACACGCGTCGCATTTGAAGGGCTTCTCGCCGGTGTGGACGCTCTGGTGGGCCTGCAGGTTGGAGGCCTGGCTGAAGCGCTTCCCGCACGCCTCGCACGTGTAGGGCTTCTCGCCCGTGTGCACCCGCTGGTGATTGTGCAGGTTCAAGCTCCAGTTGAAGCGCTTCCCGCACTCCTCGCACTTGTAGGGCTTCTCCCCGGTGTGGACCCGCTGGTGCGCCTGGAAATAGGAGCTCTGGCTGAAGCCCTTGCCACACACGCTGCAGCGGAACGGCTTCTCGCCCGTGTGCACGCGCTGGTGGCTCTGGAAGCTGGAGGCCGAGCTGAAGCCCTTGCCGCACTCGGCGCACTTGTAGGGCTTCTCGCCCGTGTGCACGCGCTGGTGGCTGTGCAGGTTGAAGCTCAGGCTGAAGCGCTTGCCGCACTCCCCGCAGCGGTACGGCTTCTCCTCCGTGTGCACGCGCTGGTGGGTGCGCAGGTTGGAGCTGCAGCTGAAGCGCTTGCCGCAGTCCCCGCAGCGGTACGGCTTCTCTCCCGTGTGGATCCGCTCGTGGGCCTGCAGGTGCGACCTCTGCGCGAAGCCCTTGCCGCAGGCCTCGCACGTGTAGGGCTTCTCGCCCGTGTGCACGCGGCAGTGGATGTTGAGGTCGGTGCTGCGGCTGAAGCCCTTCCCGCACGCGTCGCAGCGGTACGGCTTCTCGCCCGTGTGGATGGGCAGGTGCGCGTACAGGTGTGAGCTCTGGTTGAAGCTCTTCCCGCACTCGGGGCACGTGTAGGGCTTCTCGCCCGTGTGGACCCTCTGATGGGTCTGCAGGTTCGAGCTCTGACTGAAGCCCTTCCCACAGTCATGGCACCAATAGCGTTTTTTCCCTGAGTGAGTCCCGGGCCAGACGGGAAGGCCCGGGCTGTAACGCGCATCCTCACGTGCACAGCAGGTGGGGGGCTTGCTTGCCATGTGTCCCTGCCGATGGCGTGCCAGGCTGCAGCCCTCGCTGGAGGCGTCTCCACACTCCGTGCACGGGTTGGTTTGGGGTCCGATGGAGGCAGCGTGCTGGGTGCGGGGCATTACCGCGCAGCCCGCCTTGCTGGGCGCAGCCCCTCTCTCGCTGCTTCCATCATGGCGGTAGGGGGTGCAGCCGGGAAGGTCGCCCCGTGGGGCTGGTCTGTGGGGCTTGCTTCTCATCGGAGTCTGCAGACAGCCCCTCTGGCGGCTGTGCGTGTCACTCGGGGACAGTTTAGTGCAAGGATCCAGCCCAGTTCTCTCTGTTGGAAGGACACCAGTGGATCTGCTCCCCAGCTGTGGGCGGGCAGGCTCCCCCGGAGAGCAGCTCCTCGGCTCAGCTGCGGGCCAGACCTCCAGCTGGCTTCTGCCCTCTGAAAAAAAGGGATGCGTGAGAAAGTGACACCACGAGAAGCTGTGAACAAGTTCCACAGCCTTGCTGCTCTGTGGAGACATCAGAACCAGCATGGCTTGTGCTGACACTTTTTTTTTAGGTCGTGCCCTTGTCCCTTGCAGCATGACATGGCTTGGAGGCAGCAGAGGAAACCCCAGTTAAAATATGCTGCCTAAAGCCGGCAAGGTAGCCTAGTGGCTAAAGTCTTCACTTGTTTGTTTTTGTTTTAGATTATTTTTATTGCAAAGTCAGATATACAGAGAGGAGGAGAGACAGGAAGATCTTCTGTCTGATGATTCATTTCCCAAGTGACTGCAACGGTTGGAGCTGAGCTGATCTGAAGCCAGAAGCCAGGAGCTCTTCTGGATCTCCCACGTAGGTGCAGGGTCCCAAGGCTTTGGGCCATCCTTGACTGCTTTCCCAGGCCACAGGCAGGGAGCTGGATGGGAAGCTGGGCTGCCAGTATTAGAACAGGTGCCCACATGGAATCCTGGTACATGCAAGGTGAGGACTTTAGCTGCTAGGCCACGATGTGGGCCCAAGCCCTTACTTTCCATGCACCGGGGTCCCATATGGGCGCTGGTACATGTTCCAGCTGCTCCACTTCCCATCTGGTTCCCTGCTTGTGACCCAGGAAAGCACAGGACAGCCCAATGCCTTGGGACCCTGCACCCCATGGAAGACCCAATGGCCTCGGATCAGCTCAGCTTTGGCCATTGTGGCCACTTGGGGAGTGAACCAGTGGATAGATCTTTTTCTCGGTCTCTCCTTCTCTGTGTAAGTCTGACTTTCCAATAAAAATAATTAAGTTTACATATCCTGTTCAGGAGCCACCTGGAGGACGACTATTCTGCCTGACTTGGGCCCGAGACAAGGGCGGCAGCAGGCAGTACCTGGGACAGCAGGGGCCTAGTCGGCGCAGGGCTGCCCCCGGAACCCCTCAGGGCCCGAGCAGCCAGGGGGTGAGGATCTCCAGGTCCTGTGCCTCTGAGGACGAGTGAGCCGCACAGCCCAACGACGGCACCGTCCCTGGGTCTGACACTGGGGAGGTGTCCTGGGACCCGGGTTGGGGTCCCAGCTCTGGCTGCCACTTCTGGCTTCCTGCCAATGCCTGCAGGTGGCTCCAGCCCCGGCCACTCCAGGCAGCTGAGGAGGGAACCATTGGAAATGGGCTCTGCTTTTAAATTTAAAACCATCACTGTAAGGAACTGCAGTGAGAAAGGCGGATATACAGAGAGGAGGAGAGACGGAGGACGGCCCAAGGCTTTGGGACCCTGCACCCGCGTGGGGGCTCCTAGCTTCAGACTGGCTCAGCTCCAGCCGTTGCGGTCGCCTGGGGAGTGAATCATCGAACAGAAGATCTTCCTCTCTCTCTCTCCTCCTCTCTGTATATCCACCTTTCCAATAAAAATAAATCTTAAAAAAAAAAAAGAGCAGAGGCCTGGCAGCCCACCAATGCTGGACACTGTGAGCCCTGACCCCAGCACAAGCCAGCACGCTCCAGAGAATAGCAGATGGTGAGCCAGGCGGTCCCTGGATTCAGCCGGCCTCTGCTATGCCCGGACCCCGCGGGGCCGGCCTCTCCTCCCCGAGCTCGGGGGGGCTCTGAGCAGCCGTCCCAGGCAGATCACGCAAAAGCCAACAGCAATCACCACCACGGAATCACACCGGAGTCCCAAACCCACTAAGCCAGCAGCGGCAGAAACAATCAAACCTCAAGCAAACCACCAAAGCTCGGAAACCCACGGGAAACAGGGCACGCAGGAGAGTTAAAGGAACTACTTGTCCGAGTGTAATGCCCCAGAGTCTCCCCAGAAAACACACGGGGGGTACCCGGTGAGACGGCAAAGTGTGTGCACCCCACTCCCCAGCCCCCACTTTTATTAACACCTAACGGGAGAGATGGGTTCCAACAGTGAAGGACTAAACAGTGCCTGCAGGCATCAGCGGGCGCCCACACATAAGCTACATACAGCGCACGGAGGCTGGAATGGGGGGTCCCTGGGGGTCCTTGGCTCACAGGATGTAGGATTTTAGACAGACTGGAACAAGTTCCAAGGGGGACAGTAGGGACTGCCATGCAACAGGGTCTGCTCAGAAATGTTCAAGTTTACTAGAATTCTGTCTGGTTTTCATTAGATCAACCCGGGTCGGCAGGTGGAGCCGGGAGAGACTGTGCCAACCCGGGTCGGCAGGTGGAGCTGGGAGAGACTGTGCCAACCCAAGGCGGAGTACCGGGACTGCCGCCCGCCTACCTGGGCCGGTCCGCAGCTCCTTCACCCACAGCTCTTCCTCCCTTTCCAGCTGGGAGATCATATCTGGCTTAAAGGACTGATGTCCTATGGGGAGAAAAAGATGTAAATGTATTATGTTTTTAGTCCTAATCCCATAGTTTAAGGTTTGGTGCACCTTAGCCAACCCCCAGCCCCCCGCCCCCCAGCCCTGCAGAATGAAGCAAGCCCTGGTGCTGGGACACAGCGGCAAGGCAGCCACATAGACGCTAACCGGCGCAGGGCGGAGTGGCCATGGGTCCCCTCCAGCGCCTGCACACACCGCCCCCTTCCCACGGGTACCTGTGTGGACTGCTCCACACGCCCCAGCTCACTGGTAATATTACAGAAACGCTGAGGCATCTTAGTGTGTTGACCCACTAAGGGGGTGACGCAGGGATGGCGCCAGACCCAGGAGCTTCTCCGGAGGTAAGGAGCCGGGAGCTGCCGAGCGTTGTTCATTTCACAACGCGTGGGGCACAGGTGGCAAATGCCTCATGTTTCTGTTCCAAACTCTGGTCTCTGAGGCGTCCACGGCCTTGACCTACTGGCCAGGGACACTCAAACACCTGAAAATGCACCTGCTCCCCGCCAGCCATGCACCATGCATCTGCCCCACAATGGTGGCAGCGCTGCGGCTGGCAATCCTCGCCCCAGCATTTGACAGTTATGGGGCTGCCCATGCTCACCCACGGAGAGCAGGTTCTGGAAGGTCTCCAGCATCACGTCGCGGTACAGCTTCCTCTGCGCGGGGACCAGCAGCCCCAGCTCCTCCTCGGAGAAGACCACGGCCACGTCCCTGAAGGTCACCATCTCCTGCAAGGTCAAGTGCACACAGCCTTGATCTTGGGAGCAACAGTACGTCTGTTAGCAGGGTTCCCCTTCCCTCCAGGCTGTAGCACGGAGGGGAACAAAGAGGAGTCCCCCTCCATGTGTGACCTGTGCCACGCGGCCATGTGACATGACTGGCAGTGAGCAGAGCCCCGACAAAGGAAGCAGGCTGGGGACAATGTTACTTCAAAGCCCTTTTAGCTACCAGGGCAGGGTCACACCACGCGGCCCCCTGGGTGTTCTCCATCTTCATTCACCCCAGTGGAACCCCCAAACCTCCTGGCTGAGGCGCTGTTTGGACTCAGGCCTCTGTTCCCGATACAGGTAAGGGGGCCAGGGCTGTGGGCGGAGGTGGCGTGCCACATGTGACTCCGGCACCCACACGGGGGCACTGGTTCCGGTGCCAGCTTGGCCACCGGATCTTTCAGGCCACATGCTAATGAGGCAGTGCTTCTGGCCTTACCACGCAGCAACCCAACGCGTGACTGAAACAGCTGCCACCCCGAGCTACCTGTCTGTCGGGCACTGCCCGTCTGTCGGGCACTGCGGCCTCTAGCCACACTTCAGTCTGCTGCAAACTGGGGCAGCCTGTGCGAGTGAGTTTTTAGGATGGTGAGGAAGGAAATATGCGGGCGGACTGTTACTGTAAATGTCTTTAAACCGCATCCATGAAGAGAATGAGGAAACATGAGACGAGGCTAGCTATGGAAAATATTTAGAATGTGGGTGATGTAAAATGCATATTTATAATTATAAATGAACTGTGAGCAGGTTTCCAAAGTAGAGATGGCTTTTCATTAAAGACAAAACTGCCGGTTTCTCAAGGTGTTGAGTTCTCACTGCTGGGTCGCTCCCCTGGTGCCCACCACGGCCAGGGCGAGCTCCGAGTCCTCCCAGGGGTGGCAGGGGCCGTCACCCCGCCTTCCAGGGACTGGAAACTGAGCCCAGGTACCACCCAGTGCAAGGCATGGTCATTCAACTGCCAGGCTCAACCCACTCTGTGTCTGAAAATCCCAGACGCCAACACACATCTCAAGCTGCCTGGGGTACCCCTCTCTCCCTCCTCAACCTTTGAGAAATGAAGTCCAGTTTAAGATAACAGGCAAACCCACTCACCCTGAACTTGGTCATCCTTCTCTCAGGACTGGGCAGGGTCCTGGGAAGGGATGGGCACTGACGTGGGCTGGCACGCTGGGCCTCCCTGCGAGACTGCCCGGAGCACAGGGCTGGACGCCAGGCTCCCGCGGGCTCCCTCAGTGACCACCTTTCTTCGTGAATAACCCACAGGGAAGCCCAGCCTTATGGGTCCTGTAACGCTGCTACCCCAGGGCACAGGGGCCCAGCTGGGGCCCGGATGCCCATGACTGGGTCCGAATTCTGGCTTTCCTGCTGACTGGCAGTGTAAGCCCCGGGTCTCAACAGGTCACCTCTACTTGGAGCCGCTGTCCCCATGGTCTCTTTCCTGCAGCCTCAGACAAGCGGGTGCCACTGCACTGCGAGAATCTGCCCGTCAGCCAGAGGATTCTGCCAAAAGTCAGGGGACCACGGTGCTGCCCCGCCCCTCTCACACCTAATGACTTCTTGGTGCAGCCCAAGACCCTCGGCAAAGTCTTTCCTCGCTTGCACGAGGGTCAAGGCCAAAACACCCTACGCAGGATCCTCTCCGAATGAGAGGCTAAAGCGAGCCCAGGAATCCAGGGCTAGAGCTGGAGCCCGCCCCTACCCGGGGCACAGGGCAGCTGCCCCCCAGTGCCAATCAGTGCTAGCACCCCAACAGTGACTGTGTCCGGCAAAGATCACTGACTCCCCACAGAAACACCACTGGGAGGACAGGGCTGAGGTTAAGTAACCAGTCGGGCAGCGGGGTGTGGCAGGCCGGCGGGTCCTGCGTGGGGTCACTCGGGGGACCCTGCAACCCCATCTCCCAGAGCAGGAGGCTCCCCTCCCTGGAGCGCGAACCGGTGCGGCCTCCCAGCCCTGGCTGCACGCAGCTTCTCTGCTCCAGGGCGGAGACCCGGGGCCCGGGAGCCCCAGGAGCCGGGGAAGGGCGCGGGGACCGAGGTGGACCGAGGTGGACCGAGACGGACTCACCTCCGCGGGACAAGCCGCTGCTCCGGCCCCGCCTGCAGCGAGCGGAAGCGCCCAGGTCCTGGACTCCACTTCCCAGAATTCCCGAGCGGCAGCGCGCCCCCGGACTACATGTCCCAGAATGCTTGCGGCGGATTCTCCCTGGAGCCGCTTCTGGGCAGTGGTTGACCATCGCATTCTGTCGGTTCTTCTTCCTTTGTTTAAAACTCAACGGGACGGAACTGTGAGGTTTTACAGACCCAGCCATCTGGAGGGAGAAAGAAGCCAAGCGCGCACCATGAACACAAAAGGTAAAAACTGAAGTCAGGTCAGCCTGGGGGACTGGGCTGTCCCCGGGAGGACCTGTCCATGGGGACAGCAGGAGTGCAGGACGTGTGTCGCAGGACCAGCCTCCACAACAAACGGACATGAAGTATACCCCAACACATCTGTTCACTCCTAAATACTTCATTTATAAAAAAATAAACATTTTGAGCCCGGCGCGGTGGTGCAGTGGTTAAGGTCCTCGCCTTGCACACCCGGGATCCCATGTGGGCACAGGTTCTAATCCCGGCAGCCCCGCTTCCCCTCCAGCTCCCTGCCTGTGGCCTGGGAAAGCAGTCGAGGACGGCCCAAAGCTTTGGGACCCTACACCTTCCTAGGAGACCCGGAAGAGTCTCCTGGCTTCGGATCAGCATAGCATCGGCCGTTGCGCTCACTTGGGGAGTGAATCATCGGACGGAAGATCTTCCTCTCTGTCTATCCGCCTTTCCAATAAAAAAAAAATCAATAAAAATTTAAAAAATAAACATTTCTATCAAAACCTTACCAAACAGAATAAAAAATAATTGCTACTAAATCCTTAATGCCTCATATTCCATTCCTGTTCCAAAACAAACAAAACCCCCTCTCTGGTTGAAATCAGCATCAAGTTCAGCCGCTTTATTCACCTGCTTGCACACTTGGAACACAGCTACATCCGGGCTGCAGGCCCCGACCTGCTCGTGAGGCCAGGCCTGCGGGACCCGGGCCTTCTCCCCCTGTTCCCAGGAGGTGAGCTTCAAGCCCTGGAACACCCCGGACGATGGGGCATTTTCTGTGGCACAGTGCTGGTCCCATGGAGGTGGTCATGCACGCAGGGCTGAGGGCCAGAAGCTGCACAGCATCTGTCCAGGAGGGAGAGCAGACCAGAGGCCGAGCCCAAGGGAGCAGCCACAGCCCAAAGCCAGGATGGAGGCTGTGCCGTGGGCCACAAGCAGGAAGCTGGATGGGAAGTGGAACTGCCAGGATTAGAACCAGCGCCCATATAGGATCTGGCACGTTCAGGGCAAGGGCTTTAGCCTCTAGGCCACATCACCAGGCCCAATGTGTTTATAATTTTTTAAAAGTCCCATGGGCCCAGCATGGTAGCCTAGCAGCTAAAGTCCTCACTTTGCACATGCCACAATCCCATATAAGCGCTGGTTCTAATCCTGGCTGTTCCACTTCCCATCCAGCTCCCTGCTTGTGGCCTGGGAAAGCAGCCGAGGACGCCCCAAAGCCTTGGGACCCTGCACCCACGTGGGAGACCTGGAAGAAGCTCCTGGCTCCTGGTTTTGGACAAGCCCAGCTCTGGCCATTGTGGCCACTTGGGGAGTGAATCAGCAGATGGAAGATCTGTACTGGTTTCTCCCTAAATCTGACTTTCAAATACATAAGTCTAGAAAAAAAAAAGTAAAGCATCTAACCACGAAAGATAAAATTGAGAGCAAACAACAAAGACAACATATTGAAAACATTCACAAATATAAACAATCCACACAGATGCACATGGGACGTGACAGCTCATTGAGGCCTGCCGAGGACGTCCAGTACCATGGAGGGTACCGGACAACCCTCCCGCTCCCGCTTTGACAGCACGTGTCCAGGTGAGACTCTAAGGTGGACTGTCAGCCAGCGCGCCTTGCTGGAGCGGTTTCCTCAACCTTGGAGCAACAAAATCAACAGCATCTCAGAACTATCGAATCCACCTAAGCGTTATCCCCGGAACGTGCTCCACTTCGGGGACCCTGGGATGACATCAGGTGGCCTGTCCTCCATCCCTGGGCACGGATGCTGTTGGGTTGCTGGCAGGGCCCTCTCCCCCTTCTCTCCGATTTCCCCAGATGCAGGAAGAAAAAGGAGATTGGAGGCAGTTGTCTCATTCGCTTCCCCACATTCCTTGGCCCTCCCCACCCGAAATGGTGGTCCAAGGCAAGGAAGGCATGCAATCCTCTTAACTGGGGATACACCATGAAAAATAAATCTATTATGAAGAAAAACACCCACAAGTAATGCAACGATACTGACAGTCACGTTGAACATGTATGGTCTACACACACCGATTAAAAGCAGATTCCCAGATCAGATTAAAAAAAAAAAAACAACCAAGACCCAATTATACGTTGTCTTCAAGAAATCCATTTTACAGAACACAGATGAACCATACACACTCAGACACCCCATGCTAACACACTCATCAAGAGGAAACAGAAGTAAATATATTTAATTCCAGAAAAAAAATAATAAACCTTAAAAGCAAAACTGTAAGCCGGGAGACTGGAACGTGGCCAACATCCAAATCCTCCACATGGACGCTGCTCACCAAGGGAAGTCCACGGGGCGGGACGCGGCTGCCCGGAGCCGGTGGTACGTGGACTCGCCAGCTCCCTCTGGCGGCGACGGAGACGTCCAGCAGGCGAAGCCAGGAGAGCCCCTGGTGACGTTAACAGCCCCAACCTGCAGGCACAGTGGGCACCTGCAGCCCGTCCCGCCCAGCCACAGCTGACCATGCCGATCCAGCCCACAGGGAGTGTTCATCTCTATCGTCCACGTCGTGGGCCCCAGGACTAGCACTTCAACAGACTGCACAGAAACCACTTGGGGTCCGCTATCTTAACTCAGAAATCAACCAAAAAGTACACAGAAATTACAAGCCTAGGGGGCAAATGGGGGCAGGCCGAGGCTGGAGACCAAGAAAAAATGTGAGCATTGTGGCCAGTACTGGGGTGTTGTGGCATAGTGTGTAAAGCCACTGCCGGCAAGGTCAGTATCCTATAGGCGGCCCTGGTTTGAGCCCCGACTGCTCCACTTCCAAACCAGATTCCTGCTAATGTGCCATAGGAAGCAGCAAATGCTGGCCCACATGCTTAGACCCCACGTCACCCCACTGGGGATCTGAAAAGCTCCTGGCTTCTGGCTTCAGCCCGGTGCAGCCTTGGCTGCATCTGAGGAGAACCAGCATGTGAAAGAACTGACTTGCAAATGCATGCACAAGTCTCCCTCCTTCTCCCCGTCCCAAAAAGAAAGCAACTTTAAAATACTTATAACTAAATGAACGTAATTTGCCAAAATGTGTGGGATAAAGTAGAAGCAGCAGGTGGACGGTTTGTAGCTTGAGCGTGTATTCTAGAACATAAGGTCTGCCGTCAGCCACCTGGGCTTCTGCTTCAGGAAGCTGGAAAAAAAAGAATTTAAACCAGAAATGAACTGGAGAAGGAACCGTCAACGCAAACCTCAGGGGCATGCGGGCGGTGAGCGGGCAGAACGAAGACCCACCTCCCTTGATCTCCGCCTTATTTACGCATTTGTTTTGCAAGGTCACAGAGAAGAGAGACAAAATGAGAACAAATGGTCGTCCCCCCCCCCCCCCAGCTAATGGCTGCAACGGCCAGAGCTCAGTCAGCTGGGAGCCAGGAGCCTCTTCCGCTGGGCCTCCCACGCGGGTGCAGGGACCCACGGCCTTGGGTCATCCTCCACTGCTTTCTCAGGCGCATTAGCAGTGGTGCAGCTGGGACATTAACCAGTCCCCCATGGGACGTCGGCGCCACAGACAGAGGTCTAGCTTACTACATCATGACGCCAACCCCTCAAATCAACTTTATTTTAAAAAAAAAATACTTATTTATCTTTTATTGGAAATGCCAGATTTACAGAGAAGAGAGACAGAAAGATCTCCCATCTGCTGGTTCACTCCTCATGTGGCCATACTGGCTGGAGCAGTGCTGATCCAAAGCCAGGAGCTTCTTCCATGTTTCCCAAGCAGGTTCAGAGTCCCAAGGCTTTGG